TGGCCACTGTACTCCAGTCTAGGCAACAGAGTGAGATCCCAACTCAAAAAAAAAAAAAAAAAAGTTAAAGCCTTCCATCTAAAATAAAGATCTGCTATTATGATCCATTTTTACTGTGTTGTCTTCTAGCCCTTTAAGACCCGTCAGTGTTATTTATTTCCGTTCTTAAGAATATCACCTTGTATCAGGTGTCTCACACTCCCACACAGCTTCAAGAGACTATCCACATATCTCTTCTCTCTCATTAGGAAAAGCAGTTCATCATTCCTCCACTCCAGCACTTTTCCCATATCACATCTTTCCTGCTTGGGTGAAATACTTTTTTCCTCTAGAAAACAACAAAATAATCCATTAGATCAAACAAACACCGTTTTCCTGGCAACCCATTGAATGTGCTCCACCGTCCCAGCTCTGGGGAGGAGGAATGAGGTCGTCTTGTGCACAGCTATTCCATGGAGATGGCGGCACAGCTATTCCATGGAGATGGCCAGGCACATGCTCAGCAGCATGTAAGAAAAGTAGGGAGCCGGGCTCGTTGGCTCAGCCTGTAGTCCCGCGCCTTTGGGAGGCTGAGGTGAGTGGATTGCCTGAGCCCGCGAGTTCGAGACCCGCCTGGGCAACTTGGTGAGACCTCATCTCTACAATAAATCAAAAATCAGCCGGGCATGGTAGCGCATGCCTGTAATTCCGGCTACTCGGAAGGCTCAGGCAGAAGGATCACCGGAGGCCAGCAGGTCGAGGCTGCGGTGGCCAGGAGCAGCCACTGCACTCTAGTCTGGGCGACAGAGTGAGACCCCAACTCAAAAAAAAGAAAATAAAAGTAGGGAGGGCATGCTCGCTTCTCCATTATTTTATCACTTTCCCATAATTTTCCTGAGAATCACAAACTACCCAATATCAACTTCCTGGCATGAAGAGCTACTCATCAACAAGGCTAAAAAGATCACCCCCTTCATAAAAATGCATACACAAAGACAAACGTCTCATCCTTGTAATTGCTAGAGCACACATCTCACCCTGATGCTTACTTGACTGCCAGATGTTGAGAAACTGAGTCTTGTGCTTCATGATCAAGTGCAGCTGTCCAACTAAAACCGTTCCATGTAGAAGGTCACTGGTAATTTTTGTGAAAACAGAGTCAGCAGCAGCCATCAACTTCTTGCCATCCTCTGTAATATTTGCTAATATTTTCTCATCAGTTCCTAATCAGATTAAGAACACAGTTACATCAGTGGCCTTCCCACCTCCCACCTCATTGCTGTTAACATGGGAATACCCAACCCCAACTTCTTGTTCTGCCCCAGCCTCCACATAATGCAGGCAACAGGCAGTATTTTCCAGATGTGCTTATCACTTCACTCGATTCTGCATTCACCCATGAAGTTTAGGTCTGAGTTCATCTCCTGAACAAATTCCTTGCTCATGAAAATGATTCCCCCAATGGTCAAAATCAGCCAAGAGAACCATATTTCTCAAATTTTGAAAACCTGTGCCCCCTTCAGTATACTAAATATAGTTCTCAGATTACATACTTTCCTTTAAAATTCCCATCTTGAGAATGGCTGCAGCAGAGTAAACTGCACCAGGGATGCAGGCATGCCCAGCAAAGGCCATCATGATGGCTTTAAGGAGACATTTCCATAGCATATGAAAATAGAGAAACATCAATGTAAGAACCTTACATCCTGCACATTTTAGTTATCTTGCAAAACTTAGGATGTAATTTTAGGGTCAATTCAGAGGGCAGAATTTTAGAATACGCTTAGTTTAACCATCAGAAGATTTATCTCCCAGTAATGTTAGAGCCATATGGCATCATGAGAAGATTAAGCTTATCTGTACCATGAAAAACAAAGACAGCAGCTTTATTAATATTTGCAAAAACTTGGAAGCAACCAGATGTCATTCAGGAGGTGAATGGATAAGCAAACTGTAGGACATTCAGACAATATAATACTATTCAGTGATAAAAAGAAGTGAGCTACCAAACTCAAATGCATATCACTAAGTGAAAGAAGCCACTCTGGAAGCCTACTGCTATAAAATTCTAACTCTACGACATTCTGGAAAAGACAAAAGGGGAGGGAGGGAGGGTGGTGGAGCACAGGGGATCTTTAGGGCAAACTGTTCTGTGAGACACCGTAATAGGGGACATATCATCACACATTTGTACAGACCCAGAGAATCTATATACAACACCAAGTGTGAATACTGCTGTAGACTATGGATTTAGTGTATCAATATCAGCTCAAATACACCATACTAATGCAGGATTTTTTTTCTTTAAATGCAGGATGTTAACAAGCGCACAGTGTGTGTGATGGGGGAGATATACAAGAACTTTCTGCTAAATTCTTCTGTAAACCGAAAAAGGCTCTTAGAAAGTCTGGATAATTTTTAAAAGCACAAATAAAATCTTTTCAAGCGAGTAGCTTTTACTTCCAATACCACACTCCCACAGCAATGACCTTATTTTATCCCTTCAACTACCCTGCCCTGTAAGGAGCTTAGCTTTTCTTGGCTATCCCTATGATCTGGTAAAACCAAGTCTCGAGGTTTTCGATCCACATCTAATGCTTTCCCACTAAAAGATCTGAATCTAATGTCTTACACATAAACTTGACTATAACATCTTTAGGGCAAGATGTATGTCTTCCTCTTTGATCACAAAACACTCAGGGCATGGAGCCAGGGTGGAAGAACCAGACAGTATAGTACTTCACTTTTTGTTAAGGTCATCAGTATTGGGTTGGACATTCTACACAGCGTGGTTTGAAAGTAAGATGCACTTGGGTTTGGATTTTAGTTCTTAGTACTTATTATCTTTGAGACTTTGGGTAAGTTACACTACCTTCTACATTTCTGTTGCCTCATCTGAAAATCGGGTGCCTTAAAGGGAACTCCCAGGAAAAAATTGTCTCAAGGGTACTGTGTCATCACAGTTGCTGGTATATAGCAGGCATTCAATCTGCTTCCTTTATCAAACATCAGCTCATCCCAGTTGAGTATCAGGTAAGCTCTTCTCCTCCTACTGTTCCCCAAGGTGAGAAGGACACCAACTCTGCTGAGCTGATGTTTCCAGCATTCCCCCCAAACATACCAAACAGTTGGAAGAGATGTTTGACATCTGGCCATGTGAGCAGGTGTTTTAAAATTGTATCCAAGTCATCCACAGCTTCCCCACTGTGTCTAGGCCAGGACTTAGTAATCACAGCAGACACAAGGGTGCCAAATTTCCGCAAATCACGATAAGAGAGACCCTCAAGGATACTGGTCTGAGACTGTAAGAAAATTAATAAAGATAAATTCAGAAGTTTTTTATTGGTTTGTTTTTACATTACAAAAGTAAGTTACCATCTGATAGCATTTCAGAAATCTATTATAACTAGTTTTACAAGGTCTCAAAAAAGCAAGATAGTCAAATACTTGATATTTCTTAAAGCATTTTCATTTCCTTGTATACAGTCTTTTAAAATTATCAGCACCAGAGATGAGAAGACACACACGCATGCATATGCACACACACACACACACACCCAGCACAGCCCAAAAGGCACACCCCTTCCTTCTGGCTCACTGCCAGTTTCTACATTTTTTTTTCCTGGACTTTCATATCATAAAAAATACCAAAAATGAATAAATCTTTGTTATACAGTTTACATTCCTGAACCCGTCTTGGAAAAAGCTACCTACAGGCCGGGTGCAGTGGCTTACACCTGTAATCCCAGCACTTTGGGAAGCTGAGGCAGGAGAATCACTTGAGCCCAGGAGTTTGAGACCAGCCTAGGCAATATAGTGAGACCTTGTCTCAACGAAGAATCAAAAAATTAGCTGGTTGTGGTTGTGTGTGCCTGTAGTCCCAACTACTTGGGAGGCTGAGTAGGATCACTTGAGTCCAGGAGTTCAAGACCAGCCAGGGCAACATAGCAAGACCTTGTCTCTATAAAAAAGTAACTGGGCCTGATGGTCTGCACCTGTATTCCCAGCTACTCGGGAAGCTGAGGTGAAAGGATTGCCTGAGCCCAGGAATCCAAGGCTGTGTTGAGCCATGATGTGCCACTGCACTTTAGTCTGGGTCATGGAGTGAGACCCAGACAAGAAAACAAAACAAAACAAAACAAAAGTATATTCTAATTTTCTTTCAAATTCTCCACCATGAAATAATGTTCTTTTTCTTTAGGTTCAAAGTTTTTGCAAAAAGTTTCAGTAATTAGTAAAAATCACAGTTAGGGTTAATTTACAATAGACACTTTCTGACATTTAAAAGGCTAAAGGAAAACCTTATCTAGCAACGTATAAAAATAATTATACAGGCCAGTCTTGGTGGCTCAGCCTGTAATCCCATGCTTTGGGAGGCCGAGGTGAGTGAATTGCCTGAGCCCGGCGGGTTTCAGACCCGCCAGGGCAACTTGGCGAGACCTCATCTCTACAATAAGTCAAAAATTAGCTGGGCATGGTAGCGCGCGCCTGTAGTTCCAGCTACTTCAAAGGCTGAGGCGGAAGGATCCCCGGAGCCCAGCAGGTTGAGGCTGCGGTGGCCGGGAGAGGCCACTGCACTCCAGTCTGGGCGACTGAGTGAGACTCTAACTCAAAATATATATATATGTATATATATATATATATATATATATACAATATGACCAAGTGGAATTTATCCCAGGGATGAATGCTTGTTTTTTTTTTTGTTGTTGTTTTTTTGAGTCGGAGTCTCACTCTGTTGCCCAGGCTGGAGTGCAGTGGCATGCTCAGGGCCACACCGCAGCTTCGACCTGCTGGCTCAAGCAATCTTTCCACCTCAGCTTCCAAGTAGCTGGAAATATAGATGCATGCCACTGTGCCCAGCTAGTTTGTTTTGTGTGTGTGTGTGTGTGTGATTTATTGTAGAGATGAGGTCTTACCAAGTTGCCTAGGCTGGTCTTGAACCCCCGGGCTCAGGCAATCCTCTTGCCTCAGCCTCCCAAAGTACAGGGATTACAGGCTGAGCCACCATACCTGGCCAAAAGCTTATTTTAACATCAATTATCAGTTAATATCAATAGATTAAAAATCACATGATCATTTCAACAGACATGGAAAAAGCATCTGACACAAATTCAACTCTCTTTTAGGATTAAAAACACAACAAACTAGGAACTTCCTCAACCTGATAACAGATGTCTATAAAAAACCCACAGTTAGCATCATACCTAGTAGTGAAAGACTGAAAGCTTTCCCTTAAGATCAGGAACAAGACAAGGATGTCCACTTTTGCCACTTCTACTCAATATGGTACTAGAGGTACTAGCCATAGAAATCAGGCAAGAGAAAGAAATAAAAGGCTTTCAGACTGGAAAGGAAGATGTAAAATTGTACCTGTTCACAGATAACATGATCTTATATATAGAAAATCTTAAAGATTTCTTTGTCTCTCTCTCTCTCTCTCTCTCTCTCTCTCACACACACACACACACACACACACACACACACACACACACTATTAGCAAAGTCTCAGGATACAAGATACAAGGAGCAGCTGAATTTCTATACACTAGCAATGAACAATGTAGAAATGAAATTAAGAAAACAATTCCAGTTATAATAGCATCCAAAAAAAGTATTTAGATATAAATTTAACAAATGAAGTACAAAACTTAAACTCTGAAAACCATAAAACATGGTTGAAATACATTAAAGTTTTAAATAAATAAAAAATATTCCATGTTCACAGATAAGACTGAATTTTGTTAAGATGGCAATACTCCCAAATTGATCTATACATTCAACGCCACCCTTATCCAAATCCCAGCTGACTTCCTCGTAGAAACTTGCAAGCTGACTCCAAAATTCTTATAAAGTTGTAAAGGAACCAGAATAGTCAAAACAGTCCTGAAAAAAGAACAAAGTAGGAGGACTCACACTTCCTGATTTCAAAACTTACTAGAAAGTGATGGTAGTCAAAAACAGTGGTATCAGCACAAGAATAGCCATATAGATAAATAAATAGAACTGAGAATCTAGAAATAAACACATATAAGTATGGTCAACAGATTTTTGACAAGAGTGCCAAGATCATTCAATGGGGGAAAGTATAGACCCTTCAACAAACAGTGCTGGGACAACTGGATGTCCATATGCAAGAGTGAAACCGGACCCTTATCTGACAATATTTACAAAAAGTAACTCAAAATGGATCACAGGCCTAAATGTGGGAGCTAAAACTATAAAATGCTTAGAAGAAAACATACAAGTAAATTTCCATGATGCAGGATTTGGCAAAGGATTCTTAGACACTAAAAGTACATGTAACAAAAGAAAAAAATAGATATAATGGACTTCATCAAAATTAGACTTCTGTGCTTCAAAAGACACCATCAAGAAAGTTAAAAAAACAACCCATAGAAAGGGAGAAAATGTTTGAAAATCATATATCTGACAAGGGACTTTCATGTGGAATATAAAAGTAACACTTACAACTCAATAATAAAAAGATGAATAACTCAATTTAAAAATGGACCAAAGATCTCAACAGACATTTTTCCAAAGATGTAGACACATTCAATAAGTATATGAAAAGTTGCTTGATATCATTATTACCAGAGATATGCAAGTAGAAACCATAATTAGATACCACTTCACATCCACTAGGATGGATAGAATCATAAAGCTAGACAAGAGTTGGTGAGGATGTAGAGAAATCGGAGCCCTCACACACTGCTGGTGGGAATGTACATGGTCCAGTTGCTTTGGAAACCACTCTGACAGTTCTTCAAACAGTTAACACATGACCCAGCAATTCCACTCCTTTATACCCAAAAGAAATGAAAGCATTTGTCCACACTTAAAGTTGTACACTAATGTTTACAGAAGCATATTTATAATATCCAAAAGGTAGAGACAACCCAGATTTCCATTAGTAGACAGGTGGATAAGCAAAATATAGTCTACCTATACAATGGAATATTATTTGGCTATGAAAAGAAACAAAGTACAAGTTGACCATTCCTATCCAAAAATCGAAAATCCCAAATACTCCATAATCTAAACCTTTTGAAGCACCAACATGATGCCCCAAGTGGAAAATTCCACACATTAGTACTTAACTTTGTTAAATATATAACTTTGTTATATATTTAAAATATATAAAAATACCAGCCGGGCTCGGTGGATCAGCCTGTAATCCTGCACTTTGGGAGGCTGAGGTGAGTGGATTGCCTGAGCCCGTGGGTTCGAGACCCGCCTGGGCAACTTGGCAAGACCTCGTCTCTACAATAAATCAAAAACTAGCCGGGCGTGATAGCGCATGCCTGTAGTTCTAGCTACTTGGAAGGCTGAGGCGGAAGGTTCATCTGAATCCAGCAGGTCAAGGCTGTGAGTCCATGAGTGTGCCACTGCACTCTAGCCTGGGTGACAATAAGGCTCCAACTCAAAAAAATAAAATATATAAAAATACCTTCAGGCTGCATGTATAAGGTAGATATGAAACAAATGAATCTCATGGCTAGACTTGGGTCCCATTTCCAAGATATCTCATCATGTAAATGTATATGCAAATATCCCCAAATTTGAAAACATCCAAAATCCAAAATGCTTCTTGTCCCAAGCATTTTGGTTAAGTATTCTTAACCAAAACGTACTTACTTATGTACAAAATGTACAGTACTTAATCTGTACTGACACATGCTATAACATGGATGGATTTTTAAACCATTATGCTCAGTGAAATAAGTCATACACAAAGACTATATACCACATGACTTCATTCTTATGACAGGCCAGAATAGAGAAAGCTACAGAGACCAGACAGTAGATCAGCGATTGCTTAGGGCTGAAAGGGTGAGGAGGGTAGCTGGAGGGGAGGAGGGTGAAGGCTAAAGGGGACAGGGTTTCTTTTTGAAGTGATGAAAATGTTCTATTATTGACTGTGGTGGTGATAGTACATATCTGTGAATATATCAAAACCCACTGAATTGGACCTTTCAACAGGTAAACTGGTATACGAATGATATCTCAATAAAATGTTCATCAAAAAAGGAAAACCTTATAAAAATTATTCATCACTTTTAAAAACAGAATCCTTTGGTGTTGCTGGAAGACAATGACCTCAATGTCTTGGAACTCCTCCTGGCCAGCACCGAGACCTGGCCTGTGCAGGGCTTAAGGTATCTGTTTGAAACACAAGCACAGGAGCCAGGATGAGCAGGGAACTTCATCATGTAGCATTGCCTGGGAGACTGTTCCTGCCAGGTAGTGGGGTAGAATCTCTTCCCATTTTGTAGGAAAAACTGAATAAATTGATAGAATCTTTTCAACTTCATGCATTTTCTTTCCATAAACATTTTGCCAACCTTTGGTGTCTTTTACTGCATACCTGCTAAGCAAGTGTTACCAGACAGTAAGGCCACCAGAAACCATGATAATAACAGGGACGTGTGAGGGCAGCCTGCAAGGTTGATTTGATGTCACACAGGAGTAGATGTGATTTCACATGGCATACACAATAACAGTCATCTAAGTAGCAGGAAACTGAGCGGCATTTCAAGGAGTCAGTAGAAAGTACTGGATTTCAGCGCCACGACCCTTGGCAAGGGAGGGAGAATGCCCACTTCCCACTCTGAATCAGCAGAGGGTCTCAGAACCAGCGGGTGCTTCCTAGTCTCTAGCTGGCCAACGACAGAACACAGCTATGAACCCCAATCCATGCCCTAGGAGAAGAGGCTGGTCACCTGGCAGGCAGAGCTCACAGCTTCAATGACACACTTCTCGAAGCACTTGGCGACACTGTCCTCCAAGCCCGCGGTGTCCCAGTAAATGCTGCAGTAGGCAGAGATCTGGGAGAGAGGCCTCTCCTGCAAAAATAGAAGGTGAGGTTTTAAGAGCTCTTGGATGTCATGCTCCAATCCCCTGTGGTATGAAAGTGCCCTGGTTATTTTTACCTTCCTACCTATGCTAAGCATATCCTCTCTGTATCCCCCTGCTGGACCAGCAGAGCTAAAATTAAAAGAATCCCCTTGCCCACGCTTGCAGAAAAAATTAAAAGAATCTCTTTGCCCACTTTGGCAGAAAAAGCACCTCACACAGCAGCTTGCAAAAACAGGTACATCTAGAGAAATAAGTCATTTTTCCTTGCTTCTGTTTTCCTAAAAAGTTCCCTTTAACAGTTACATATAAAACTCTCACATCATGTAAAAACTAACTTTCCCAAGGTCATAGGCCTTCATTCAAAATCAAGGGCATGTCTGAGTTTGCTCCACTCATTCTTGCATTCCATGAGGTTCTAGTCACCAACAGGCCACTTGGAGTTGCTGCATGTGGGTGGTCTCGACCCTGTATGTGCCTGGGGTTCCCATAATGACAAGATCCTGTGCCCTTGCTATTCTCTGGAATAGCACAATAAAACTTTGAAATGCTCTTCTAGGGTCAGACTATCAAGGCTGGATCAGAAACAGAAGTACAGAGTTGCAATTCACCCCTGCACAGGGAGAAGCTGTCCCCTCAGAGGCATCATTACTATCTCTTGGTTGTTGCTATTGGTCTGGTGTTATCTAACTTTCCTTCACTCCCTGAAAAGAATGTCCCCATCTTTCGGTACCTGCTTGAGCCTCCCTTCCATGTCTCCCAGCAACGACTCCTTCCAGCCATGCTCTGCGGGGAAGTGTATTTCCACCAGCCGCCTCCAGACCTGCAAAGCCCACACACAAGTCACAACCACTATGATAACTAAATGCCACAGTGTGATCCTACCAAAAGAGAAAGACAGACAGAACATTATGGTAATACAAAGGGTGGGGGACTGCAGGGACGCCTGGGCTCTCCCATCTTTGCCACAAGTGACCTATATGAGTGGCAAGTCATAGCAGCCAAGGTCAGCATTTTGGACCAGAGTCCTGACAGGACCAGGGGCCAGTATAGCCTTTCCCAGGGGCTTTTCATTCTGAAAGGATTTCCCTCTAATGTTTTATTTTGAAAAATGCCAAACTTATGAAAGGTCATAAGAACAGCGCACCACCACCCATGTCCTTTTAACTCTAGTCTGGAGTTGTTAATATTTAATACAACTGCTATCTCTCATTCTCCACAATCCTAGTGCAGGTGTCATGCTAAGGACAGTGATTGTGGAGAGGACACAATCCTCTAAGAGGTGGTCCTCATCCATATTCTCCCGGCTGTCCATGGCATGTCCTGTTTGGATCCAGGATCCAACCTGGGGACGCACACTGCATTTAGCTATCACATCTCTTTTCTAGAAGAGTGTCTAGTCTTTTTTTTTCCTTTTTCTTTTTTTATTATACTGACAATTTTAAAAAGGTAAGGCCTACTGTTTAGTAGACTGTCATCTCTCAACCTGATTTGTCTCATAATTTTCTCATGATTTGATTCAGATTAAAATAGTTTTGGCAGGAACACTATGTGGTTGAACCACAAGAAAATGCACATTCTGTAGACCAGGTGTGGTTGAACTTCCAAACCTTCATACAGCTGCCCCACCTAACACTCAAGGATGTTGGCACACCTTGAGCTTGACATTAAGGGGCCCGTGAGATCAGTTTGTAACATCAGGGCTCCCTTCTCCATGGTGAACCGTATTAGGACATAGCATCTCCCCAAATCTCGGTTACCTCTTTTGTAAAACCAGGATTAACAACAGGACTTACCTCAAAGTAGGTGTTTAATTACGTTTCAATTATTTTTTTAACCTTATTACTGAATTTAACTCAGAATCATTCTCTCACATCAGTGGATCAACAACTATCCTTAACTCACACTTCATGCTGGAGGGATTATACAATTCAAAATCTTGAAATAATATTTAATAACTCAATTTTGTTTTGGTGCAATTTAAGTCTGTTAGTCTGAAACTTAACACAGTAACTGGAGAAAGATTTTCTTGTTCTTTAATTGAAAGTCACAAGCTGCGGGGTGCAGCAGATATTTGGGAGTCCCACATATTCGAGAGGCTGAGGTGAGGCTTGAAGGCTGCAGTGAGCTATGATGGTATCTTTGCACTCTGGCCTGGGCAACCGAGCTAGACTCTTTTTCTTTAAAAAAAAGTCACAAGTTGAAATTTGTAAATTTCCTTCTTGACAGAAAATAGACACTGACATGGAGGCCCAGGTCCCATTAAGAAATAGAGAAAAGTCTGGAAGTTAACTGTGAGCCATAGATGCCAGTTACTGCCCCAGGTGGATGAAACAAGGAGAAACTGCTGCCGTTTCTGAGTCCCTTTCGTTGACTTAAGCTCACAGAGCTACCGCCAACCCTGTTTACCAAATCCAACAGCTCTTCTTAGTCCTCATCTGTACTTTTCTGTATCCATGATTCTGCTCAATACCTCTCGACAAAAATCCTCCCTACTTCCCAACCTTTTCGTGGTTGATTTCTCTTTTCAGCTGTCTATTTCTCATATACAGACAGTTTTGCCCAGTTTCCCTTTCAAACGTCTCTTCCTTTCATCTCTTCCTCCCATCTCCAATGTCATAAACCTAATTCATAATCCCAGTACTAAAACAGAAACGAGATGTTCCTCCCTGCAAGCTGATGCCTCAAAGTGCCTTTCCTGATGTGGTCCCCCATCACCACCATCACCAAGTGGATGACTGCCCAGCCAGCAGGCTAGGCAGGCAGCACGGCAGTACTTTCCACCTGACATCTCTTACCCATCTCAGCAACCATCAGGTGAGCAAAAACAGCCTTATTTTGCAGGTGCAGAATTGATGCTCCGGCGAAGGCTGACAACTGGCCCCCAGCTACCAGACTGTGACCACAAACTGAGGTCACAATGAATCATGACCACATCCCATCCCTACTCAGAAGTCTTCAGCAAAACTTACCTCAATTTCCTCAGAATAAGTGAATGAGATAGTTGAAATATAGCTATGCTTCAACATGTTTTCTTTAAAAATTTCTCGGAGCCAACTTCTAGTAGCAGCAAGAGTACCCTGGAAGACTGTTTTGACTGAATTCTTTGCAGTTTTGTTTCCTTGTCCTTCTGTAGAATCCTGTTAGCATATAAGAGATAGAGTTGATGCCTCTTCTACACTGTGGATGCAAATGTTTTCAGTCAGACATGACATTCCTGCTTTGCCTCTGGCATTCATAGTGGACGATCAGAAGGCAGCTATGCTGGAACACACAGGCCTCTGCAGAAGCCCGCTTTTTAAAAGCACTTTAACTTCCCCAGAACTTTTTGGTTCATCCTGAAAGTGGGTGATATGGGAGAAAAGTGAGGAGGGAAGGAATGGTGTCACTGTCCTCTGACCAAATGTCCCCAGGCAGTAAAAGCCCAGGCAGACTCTGCCCGGCCAACAAGCAGACTCCCAGGCCTGAGGAAGTGTGATCGCATGCTCTCCAGACTGGGTGAGGAAAAAAGTACTCCCAAAGCACCAAGGTGCCACAGAAGCCCAGATGAGTATGTCATCCCAACTCTCCAGTCCTGGCTCCTCGGTGACAGCTAACAGTTAGACTGTTGGCAGGATGTAAACCTGAGTCCACTTCCCATAGCTGTTTTCTTTCGGTGAGGTGGCACCCTTACTCCTGCCACCCCATCTCCACCAGCAGACCCACAGCCTCTAATCACGCCTCCCTCCTTCCTTCCTTCTTTCTGCCTCCCTTCCTCCACCTTTCCTCATCAGAAGCACCTTCACCAAGAAGCATATATAGCTCAAGCACTGGGGACTCTACTCCTCCTGGGAGGCACCCTCATAGTTTCTGTATTCATTTATGTTCTTTTACTAAAACAGAGACCCGCAAATCATCTAAGTGTCAGTAACCAGCAAACCTGGATCTGCTCGTGTCCCTCCCGACACTCTGTGGGAAGCAACCTGTGGCACTCTGCCTCAAGACTGGGGAGATATGGCAGACACACTGTGGCTGTAAGGAACCGACCAAAAGTGCCCCCATGTGAATGGTGAATGGTCCGTGGACAGACAGAAAAATATAGGACCATTAACTATGACAATTGCCAGGATGGAAAGATACAGGAAGGTGTTTTTAAAGCATATAAAAGGGGGTGGGAAGAAAGTGCTGCCATGAAGGATGAGACCTGGCTGGCTGGGGCTGGGGAGGGAATCATCAGCAGTTCCCAACTGAAAATGGAACAGGTACTTACTTAAGGTCCCCAAAAGGCCCAGCACATTCTAGAAAAACCCAGAAGAAAGCCGGGCTTGGTGGCTCAGCCTTTAATCCCGTGCTTTGGGAGGCCGATGTGAGTGAACTGCCTGAGCCCGCGGGTTCGAGACCCCCCTGGGCAACTTGGCGAGACCTCATGTCTACAATAAATCAAAAATTAGCTGGGCGTGGTAGTGTGTACCTGTAGTTCCAGCTCCTTGGAAGGCTGAGGCGGAAAGATTGCTGGAGCACAGCAGGTCGAGGCTGCGGTGGCCGGGAGTGGCCACTGCACTCTCCAGTCTGGGTGGCAGAATGAGACTCCAACTCAAAAAAAAAAAACAAACAAAAGAAAAACCCAGAAGCCCCAGTATGGTGTGTCTGTTCTTTGTGATCTGGCCCTTGCTGAGACTCAATTTCATCCCCAGGAAATCCCTGAACTTGAAAGATGGCTCTAGTCACACACAACTCATCTTTGCATACCCTGCACTTGGCACAGGGCTGGGCAGAGATGGTCAAGAATTAGGAACTGAATGGACCACCTTTCAAGCAGCTGGGCTTCTTGGGTTCTAGAGGCTGCAGATCCACTCTAGAACCCAACACTGTACTCTCCACCAAATGTCCTGTCAATCCTGTAACTGTGATAGCAGCATCCAACCAAAAGGATTTTAACCCTTTCCCTGCTGGGGAAAGGATAGCTGCTGGCAGTGCTTATGGCTGCAGCATTTGCCTCAAGATTGAAAAAACAAAAGAAGAGAAGAAAATAACAAAACATAGTAATTATTAATTATCTTTTTGTTTTTAGTAATTCTCATTAGGATTAGAGACAAGTTCTGTTTAGAAATAACTCTAAGAACAGTTTTCATATTTTATTTTCACATTGAAAACCAGTCAGATTTGCTTCAGCCTCAAAGAGTGTGATTATGTAAAATTAAATGAACATGGCAGCCAGCTGCACTTTTTTTTTTTCTAAATGGGTAAAGGGTTGGTTAAATACTCATAACAGATGCTTTGTTTAATTTTAGTACTGCAAAGGATTTTTTTGTTTGCCTTTATGGCACAGGTAGAATGTTTTGACCATAACGTGGATGAGACTAATCTGAGATCCCAACTAGCATTTAGAATACTTATTTTTGCAGAAAATATATTCTAACTAACAAATTCCTTAAACACACTTTATTTGGAAGTTGGCACTTTCCTATGACAGTTTCAAAAGTACTCACTCCAGAAGAAAGTGATCATCTTACCGGTAATACTTATTAAAGTATGTATGTAGTATTTATTTATTAATTTATTTATTTGCTAACTGCCATTCTGGTCTGACATCTGTGGTATTTTAAAAAAGGAAAACTGAAATGAAGGAAAGTTAAAATATAGACTTAATTGTTTTATATTATTGAAGTCACAGTTCTGACTTACAGTAAAAAACAGGCTGGGTGAAGAGGTTCATACCTGTTATCTCAGCACTTTGGGAGGCAGAGACAGGAGGACTGTCTGAGCCCAGGGTTTCAAGATCAACCTGGGCAACTTGGCAAGACCTCATCTCTACAAAAGATTTAAAAATTAGCCAGGTATGGTGGTGACATCTATAATTCCAGCTACTTGGAAGGCTGACGTAGAAAGATCACCTGAGCTCAGCAGGTCAAGGCCCTGGTAGCCATGAGCGTGCCACTGTACTCCAGTCTGGGCAACAGAGTGAGACTCTGAATCAAACATTAAAAAAAAATTAAAAAACAAATGGTCAGCCTAAATAGAAAATCACAACATCACTTTCAAATTTAAGCTCATAAACTCAAGTGGGTGAATGCTGCACAGAGATGAAAACATGAGCAACCATCCATGCAACAAAGATTGATCTCAGAGACATGATGCTGAGAGAAGAAAGTCAGACACAGAGGCTCAAAACTCGAAGGCAGGCAAAACAGACCTATGATGGTGGAACTTAGAACAGTGATTCCCTTCAGAAGGGACATGAAGGGAGGGGCACAGAGGAGTGGGGTGATCCTGCAGTCTGATCCTAGACACGGTGTGTGCCTAGGGACAGATGTGCACCGTCAGGCACTTGGCTACCGTGTTCAAGCTACAATGTAAAGAAGAATGCTAAAGGGGAAAGACTGTGCCTGGACAGAGAGGGAAACAGTCCCCAAAACTCTCCATGAACAACAGAATCAAGGAAAAAAGAAAGGTCATCTTCTCAGCGAGGCCTTGCCTGACTTCCTGACCCTGCACCATTCCTTTAATTTCCCCATGGCCATCTGATGGGCTGACATTAACTCTCTTCCTCCTTCCGGAGAGAGCTCAAGGAGATAGGAGCACAGACCATGGCTCACTGAGATACCCTCAACACACAGAATGGAACCTGGCATCAAGCAGGTGCCTAACCTGAATCAATCACTCCATCTCATTCCAGCACCCTAGAATTTGTCTGTTTCCTTTTGCCATTGAAACTACTTGAAATTTCATACTTATCCTGGGTACAATATTACACGCATTAATTCCACTTACCTCTAGAGGTAGAAGTATGATAATTCTGCAAACAATCTCAGCAGATAAAGCAAGCATCTCATAAAACTTCCGGTGCTTGGTAATGCTGCAGATAGTCTCATGGAGTTTCAGGCACACAGTCAGGTAGGACTGAAACAAGGTCTCCTCAGGAATCCTAACCCACAAAGAGTTAAAAGAAATCACTGAAGTAATTTAGGAGAAATGAGAAAACAGTATCTATTATTGATGACCAGTCTCTTCCTTTTAAAATAACTACCAGTAAGGTATCTGTTTGATCTCATCTAGGTTAACATCTGGAAAAAAACAGATGGAAATAAGCCAAAATCTCAGCGCACATATTTACTATTTCCCCCTTTTAGAAAAAAACTAAATTACTACATTAGTAACCTGAAAAGGGAAGTGGCCACGTACTGATTTATAACCTTCCTGTTATGACGGCAAATCGGGGGAACAGTCAGTCGGGGTAATCAGTAAGACACCCGGAGCCATGAATAAGAGAGAGGCTACATTCTACTTTTCTACTTACTTGTTTTGATAAGCCTCCAGCAAGTGCAACAGCATTTTTAAAATGTTCTCAATATCCTAGGGCAGTGAAGGAAAGAAAAATAGAAGAGATTCAACCATGACACCACTGTCCCTGCTAAAACAGAGCTGAAAAAATCCAAAATAATATACAAATGTTTCTCTTCCTAGAAACAAATTTAAAGTGTTCACATATTAATCTTATATCTTTCACAAATAAAACTCAGGATTTAAAATGATACCATTGGCTGGGCTTGGTGGCTCAGCCTGTTAATCCCAGCACTTTGGGAGGCTGAGGCAAGTGGATTGCCTGAGCCCATGGGTTCAAGGCCAGCCCGGGCAACTTGGCAAGACCTCGCCTCTACTATAAATCAAAAAATTAGCCGGGCATGATAGCATGCACCTGTAGTTCCAGCTACTTGGAAGGCTAAGGCGGAAGGATCGCCAGAGCCCAGCAAGTCGATGCTGGGGTGGCCGTGAGTGTACCTCTGCATTCCAGCCTGGGTGACAGAGTGAGACTCTAACTTAAAAATAAATAAATAAATAAAATAAAAAATAAAATTATACCATTTTATTCACCCCCAAAACGTGAAAGGATCCCGTGCCTTGGGAGGCTGAGGTGAGTGGACTGCCTGAGCCCGTGGGTTCGAGACCCGCTTGGGAAAATTGGTGAGACCTCATCTCTACAATAAAAATCAAAAAATTAGCCAGGCGTGGTAGCACACGCCTGT